TTTGATACATGGTCGTTTTTTTTTTTTTTGCTAAAAACGCCTTACTCTTCATGATCATTTTTTCCGGCTAAAAACGCCTTACTATACATGGTCATTTTTTTTAGCTAAACGCCTTTCTTTCCATGGTTGTTTTTTTGGGCTGCAAAAAACACCTGACTATACAGGGTCGTTTTTTTGACTGTAAAAACACCTTACTATACATGGTCATTTTTTTGTTGTGAAAAATGCCTTGATACTTTAAAAAAAATTTTAACAAAACATTTCAACAAATGGTCTTATATAGGGACAATGTAAAGTGCTCATGACCTGCCTGGTAGTCGAATGTTTAGTGCGTCGGTGTCGAGGTGCAGGGTTCGAATCCAACTCCATCCTTCCTCTGTGTTCTCAAAAATGTGTGTGGCCATGCATTTTCTGATCCATTTTCCGCCCAACTATTCGGGCTCATACTCACACCTACGTGTTTATTGATCAGTCGAATGGTTAGTGCATCGACGTTGCACTGCGGAGGAGCAGGGTTCGATTCCCTCTCCAGCCTTCCTGTGTGTTCTCAAAAACATGCATGGCTGTCCATTTTCTGATCCTCCTCCCCGTGCAACTATTCGCGCTCACAGTCACACCAAGGAATAATATGGAGCATTCATTTGCTGCCTGGTAGTCGAATGGTTTGTGCATTGGCGTTGCACTGCGGAGGTGCAGGATTCGATTGTGCTCTCCCCTGCGCCTCTGGTCTGCGCAGGTTTCCAAAAACGTGTGGCCACCATTTTCTTATCCTCTTCGTGCTCACACTGACACCTAGGGACAATGGAGGGCAGTGTTCCCACTCTTCCACTTTATTTTTATTTATGGACTTTTTCGGGACTTTTGAGGGCTAATTTAGCCATTTTTAAAGGACTTTCTCTCCATTCATCAGGGGATTCACGGTGGATTTAATGAACAGAAAGGCACATATCACTGAGCTGGTGTTCAAATCATTGCTGCCAAAGCAAGGGCACATCTTTATTTTTTGGGGCAATCAGCTAACCCTTTATTTGACATACTGGATGTCAAATTGACCCGAAATGACCCGGAGTGATCACGTGATTATCATCGGAACTGATCGGAGACGGCGGGAAAAGCAGAGCGGGAACCAGGAAGGCATGTTGCCCGACAGCGGGTTTGAGGTTCAGGGTGCCAGGTGCATTTTCTGACAAAACTATTAATTGAAAGGGTGGGGAAAATGACATACACAAATGAAATGAACACCACAGGTTAATTTTTAATGATTTTTATTGATTTTAGAAGCTTTCCCTGAAAATTAAGCACAATTTAAAACAGAATTTTACAACTTTTTAATGGATTTTTATGAACTTTCAGGACCCGTGTGAAGGCTGTCACTATTCAATTTTTTATTTAAAGCACGTAAAACCAAGAGCTTTCTGTTATAGTTGAGCTTTTATTGAACAAGTAAAAGATTCATAAAGAGCAGCTACTCACATAATGAGGGTTGTGGAGGTGGTTGTATAGTGAGTGATTCACATGCGCTTACCGGACGCACACATTAAAATATTGCTAGAATATACATTTGTATATTGTACTTTACTGAAACCCTTTCACAGTAAGAGGGCAGCTTATTGTGCCGTTGTAAAAAAACAAATCAAAAAACAATCCTCAGTACATGTTCCTGTTGTGTTTTTAACCAGTTAAATTTGTCACTGTGACAAACAAAGTGTCTGAAGCAGGGGTGCCCAACCAGATTGCATTTGACCGGTAGCCCACGGAGGGGAGAAAAAAAAAAAAAAAAAGATTTGGGTGTCTGTGTGTGTTTTATTACATTTTGGCTTTTTTAACCTTCTCAGTTTCACTTTACAAAAAAATATTTTAAAAATAAAATCGGGCAACAACTGTGGCGCACGATCTGCATCCGCGTAAGTCGTTAGCAGTCAGCAGTCTTGAATTGCAGCTTGTGATCAGAGCTGTTGAGATATAGATTTTTATTTTTCTCATTCAAAGTTTGTTTCATCGACAATTCAATGATGGCACTGGCAAAAAATGGGAATCAGGAGTGCCAGGACAAGCATTTTTAAAACGGTACCCGTGCGTACGATAGCTTCTACACTTAAGATACTGCAAAACTGCATCCCAATGTTCAGGCAATTATTTCCTTTCCACAAACTCTTGCATCAACTTTATTTTTTCCGTTTTGTTCATGTTAGGGGCCATTATGGCTGTTCATGTGCGGTAACGGGTCAATCGCAGGACGGTTGGTTGCATGCAAAGCAAATCTTCGGTCGAAAACGGTTGAGCACCCCTGGCCTAGAGTATATTTGAAAACTCAAAATCTACACACAATAAAACTCAGCAGTCCAACCACACAGCGAATTAGTTGGTTTTCCATAAATCAAAGGACATTGAATGAAACCCTCATTCGGAAAATTGACTGAGTCTCCGAACTGCCCTGACCCACCCACCCATCAAGTGTGAGATTGTGACATCACAAGTGGGATTCTCCAATCACTGATTTTCCAACACGTTAGAAAACGCTTAGTGAGCAACACTGATCAGCTGCTTGCTTTATTGCAACACCCTAGCTCCACCCACAATCATCACTTTTCACAAAAGCCTTCGCCTGTATTTGCGTGAGACAGAAGTGCCACCCCCCAACCATTTATTGTCATTCTTTAACCGAGCATATTTTGACCAACGAATGTCAGAGTCCTTTTATTAAGACACCCGGAAACTAACGAATTGCATAAGTCTCTTAATTACATCAAAATGCATTTTTATTTATTTTTTTGTGCTCTATTGTTCACACTGGACCTAACGTGCCTGAATTTAAGAATCTATTCAACTTGGTGATCATCTACCGGCAGCGCCACAACAAAATCAACATGTACATTTCAAGGAAGTCCCAAGGGAACCTTCGCGTTTCCTGGTCCTAGTAGATGTCGGGGAGCTGCGTGAACTTTCTGTCCCAGTAACCTTTCGTGTACAGCCAGCCTTGCGCTTTGTTGTGCGGGTTGGCTCCTTGTTGAAACCACCTGTGGACATTCAACAACAACAATGAAGGATCAAGACTCCCATTTGCAGGAGAGCAGAGCAACGCAAACGGCAGCAAGAAGTCAACAAGGTGAATACTGCTGCCCCCCCGTGCAGCTCTCCTTCACAGGGCCACGGAAGATCCGGCCGTAACCGGACACAAAGTTATGACAATTTTGAGCGCACGCACATGCAGGAGCTAATTACCTGGTTTTCCAGTCGTCTGTGGATTTGCCGCGATTCTTCCGGGCTGTCCTCTGTTTTTCCTCCAGTCGCTTCTTCTCTGCACTCGCTAAATCTACCAAACGAGTACACACACACACACACACACAGTACATAAAATTGATACTTCTAAAATATACACACTTGAGTTTGATTGTGTGGGGGGAAAAAAGGGCACCGGAACAATAACTTAATCACCAGAGCTGAACAAAAGCATTTTCGTTGTTTAGCGTGCTGCTATGGGTCGAACTACGAACGTGGGTGGGTTGTGTTAAAAAAAACAAACAAAAAAAAAAAGTATACTCGAAATAGTTTTAGTCCTCAAAAGATGGTTGGCCAAGTTTACCTCACACTTGACCTCTAAAGCGTCTTGGTCAGTTCAGAAGTGCACTCCAGATGTTTACATATCACTGAAAATTGAAGCAATAAAGCCGCCCATTTGTTAGCATTACAGGTATTGTTGTAATGTGTTTTCGGACTTTCTGATTTTGATGCCACATTTGTTTGACAGAATTTTGTCAAAAGCTTAACCTGGAAGACCAAACCATTTATGTATAATAAATCTGATCGTGTTTACTAGAATACAGATGAAATTTATGGATGTCCGATCAAGTCATACCGATGTCTCCGTTCTCCATAGCGCGGATGTCAGGTCGAAGACGACTGTCCGTGGAGGGCAGAAGTCCCTCCATCTTCTGGTCCAACTCATTCAGCTGCATGGCGAATGTGGAGAAGGCGTAAAACTGCAAAATGGAGAATGCGGAGACGTGAAAGAGACAAGACGACGACGCGAGCCCCTCGTTTTTCATTTTTCAAGCTGGCTGACCTTGGCCGAGTCATTGGGACGAGGCGTTATCTTCCAGATAAGCTCGCTTCCCGGGATCACCTGCACTGTCTCGGCGTCAGGCGGCGGCATCTCCTCGGGCTCTTCATCTACGCTGTTCTGAGGTCAGACGACACACACACACACACACAGGTAATCAGCCCCCAATGACTAAACAGAGAGCCAAACACAGCTGGTGGCGAGGAATAAAAAAAAAAAAAGAAGACCCTCACCCTTTTGCAAGCCTTTTTCTCTTCTGAACTCCTTTTGTCAGAGTTTTTGTTGGCGTCGAAGGTTGCTGGGTCCACCGTGTATAAGCACTCGGTCCATTTGCCGTAGATGGCACAGAGCTTCCTCTTGCTGCAAACATAAGATCTTCAATATAGTATTTGTCACCTGCAAAATGGAGACCGTATTTTCCGCACTATAAGGTAACAGTGCACCATCTAATTTGATATGATCGCCTTATATACGGATCAATATTCAGATTTCTTGGACATAGTATTTTAAATGTTCTGTAAAGCGCTTTGTTACAGCTGCAGCGGTTGTGAAAGGTCGATAGAAAGAAAGCTGTATTGTACTGTATTGTATTTCCTTTAGCATAGCTCCATCTAGTGGATGCATAACGCAACCGCAGCCACTATTGTAGCTTCTACCTTATTCGCCCTATATATGAAAACAGTTTTAAACTAAGCCATTCATTGAAGGTACATCTGATACTCCGAAGCGCCTTATAGTGCGGAAAATACGGTAAATGGAACAGAGCTGTTTGAAACAGGGTTTGACACAAACGCTTAAGAATGTGTTGATATAGAAAGCAATAATTTATTATTTCGTACACATTTTCCGACAATAAACACACTTGATCTCTGCTTAGGGATTTTCAAGCAAGTTAAGCGATGCTGTCTTACATTTTACCACAAATTAGTTTTCCATTTCCAACTTATCCACGTCCTGGTATGGTCCAACTAGCGATTCTAGGCGGGTCCACAGGCAGGATTTTTGACACTATACATTAATTTCCATCCACTATGGGTGCCAAACTCGGATATCAACAGATGGGTTGCAGTAGGAAGAGGATTTGGTTATCAAAACGGACTTGGTCGCAGTATCATGTTGCCACCAATAGAGGGTGCTAATAGACGTGAAAAGGTCATGGCTGCTTTCAGTACAGTGGAATGACTGTTTATCTGGAAGTCTGTGTGAATTATGTACATGCTGATGACGAAGCCTTGAGACAAAAATTTGACATGTATAATTGTGAAAAGTGACAACATTATAGTATTTGTTTCGCGTATAACGGACAAAAACAAAAGATACAACTAATTTCCTTGGCAGCAGTAAGAGGAATCAGATGCTACCTTTTATCGAGAATGTATCCCTCCACTTTGTGGAGCTCCTTCCCAAAGAGGCCGCAAGGTTTGAAAGTCATGCAGCAGCGCTCGCCGGTCCTGTCACAATTATATTATTGGTCACATCTCCTCTGTTGTTGTGTGAGCGTTTGCCTTCATGCGCACACAAAGCACGAGAGGAGCTGCCGTTACTTGTGATTGACGACCTCCACGCTGCCGTACTGCTCGATCCAAAGCTGACCGACGATGATGTTATGGACGCAGCAGGTGGGGTTTGTCCAGGTGTAGGCTTCATTAAATCTTTGGAGGAAGACAGAGAGAAATTAGGAGGAGGACGCGACAAAGCTCATGTGCAGCTTGACACTCGCTTGGGAAGTTCCAGTGTGATGACTCCTTTGGGCTCTGCTTCGATGCTCTTGCCCCAAAACTTGATTTTGGGGTAGATTGAGCCATGGAAGACGAAATCCTCCTTGAGGCCCTCGGCGTGAAAGGCACTGACGGGAGGATGATGGCTCACCTGCTCGGAAACCCACCTGAAGCCCAAATCATCTCTGGAGAAGAGTGAAACAAAGAGTGTTTTAATCTGTGTAGGACATGGGCGCATTCATCGAGCTACAGAGCGCGGCATCTGACCTGATGAGCTCATAGGTCTCGCCCAGTAGCGGGTTGAAGGGCTTGCCAGTCCTCTCCCACTGTGATGCCACAGCGGACACCGCAAACGCTGCGATGCACTGCAAACGGACAACGACATTGCAGATTGACAGCGCCACAATGCACACGATTGGCAACAAAAAGAACATTAGCAGCTATTTGAACGTTGTTTTTATGTCATACATAACTGTAAATTGAGCCATTAACTCATTCAGTACCAGCCAATTCTGGACCAAGTCTGAAAAGACGTTTAAAAACGTCTTTGGGAGTGAATGAGTTAAAGAACCCGGCCTACAAGTGACGTCCTATACAATCTCTTGCGGGAGCTGGTCGAAACTTGTGTAACAGTGGAGCTAATTCACCCTCTCCGCCCGTGGCGTGATCAGCATGGTAGGCCGAAAATCCAGAGCCACATGTCGAAGGGTAAGCGGCAGTGCAGATTAGCATTTGCTAGGAGTGTTAGCATCTGATAAGGGGCACCTTGTTGATTGCTCGACCAAGTTGCGGACGCAGCGGAGGTGGACATTTGTGTATGGTGACATGTCCAAGTGCCACATACACTACACACAATGTGAAAATGTTTACATATGCTAATTGTTTTTTCCTCGACAGTCTGAGCTCCTGCAAAGAGTCACTATTCACATGAGACACCGACAGTCAAACGGCCTAATTTCAACAAGACAACATGGCTGTGGAAAGTGTTTGGAACTTTACTAGTTCAGAGTCATAAATAAATGACAAATGGACTGCTTTTAATGGTACTCAAATTAGGATTCAGTGTCTTGCTCAAGGAATGGACCCCGCAACCTTCAGCTTGGGAGACAACCACTCTACCACTGAGCCATTCTTACTACGTACAATAAGGTCATCTGACAAAAGGTTCCAGTGTTACCAACTAATCTGTGTATTTTTATTTGCAGCACAAATAAGTATCTACTATTAAATTTTGTACACCACCACTTCAAACTTCTATCCCATCGCTGACTGAGGAGCGTGAATGTTACCTTCATCCGTTCGACAGAGTCGGCAGTGGCGTTGGCCCGGTGGATGAGGTAGGTGTGCTCCATATATTCGGTAATCCGCTGCAGGAAGCTCAGAGGCTCGTTTAATATTACCGGCATGGCAATCTTGGACAGCTCCTGAAGAGACGACATGAATATGCTAAAGCATGTTAAAGGAGCCATACTGCTTTTGGTGTTTTGACAATGATTGTTACTGTACACCAAGTACAGTGAGTGGTGGTTGTGTACACTGTAGGTTGAAATCATGCCGTTTGCCTTTCATGGGCCAAGTTAAGTAGACATACTGTATTGGCCTGAATATAAGATTGCCCTGATTAAAAGACGACGGTATAATTACAGTACATCTGAAACAAATGATAATATATTTGAGAGAAAAAGCATGTTATTTTGCCTCATTTAAATCTTAGTATCTGAACATTTAAATATGTAAACTAAAGTGCATTCGCATTCGTAAATGAATGGCTTCTTGTTTTTGAAATGTAAATGACATCATAACTTCGCCTCAGCTGCCGGTTAACCTGGCCGATCTTCGACCCACTTTTCTCCAGATTGTCGCTACGTTTCTCCATTTTCTGTTATCTCTTCTATTATTTTCTTCTCTTTCCTTTCTGACAGCTATTTTTTATTTTTCTTCTTCATGCTACCGCTATTTTTATTTTTATTCTTCGTGACAGGTGTTCACTTTGGCCTGGGAATCAAGTTCAGCATTCGCTTAAATGACATCTGGCGCCATCTAGTGTCGTGAATGGGTATAATGTCTCGACCCCAAAAACAAGACGACCCCCACTTTTTCAGTCTTATTTCAATGCAAAAAAAAAAAAAAAAAAAAACGTCTTATATTCGGGCCAATACGGTAATTCATCCAAGGCCTCTGTGAGGTCCGAAGCACTTTGGCATTATAGCATCAAAAGGGGACAGACATCTTTCTAATTGCTTGTGTGCAAATAGTTGGGAAGAATAGCTTGCCCACCCAGGTGTAAAGTAAAACCAACTTTTTTTGTTATGCACCTGTCTGAAAATGTGTCTGCGAGCCAGTCTTTTTGAATTGTGACGTCTCCTTTTTATTAGCCAGCCGTGGCTTTGTGCAAGCGCCATTCATTTAATTTAATAAAGTCTCACAAAGGGGACTCTGAGTCCCCAGAAGTCTTTCGTAACCTCACAAAAAGTCACTAGGTTTGTTGCTTGCCATGTACAGCTGAAAAGTCCTTGAGTCATTGCTAATGAAAGCCATCCTCAACACTCGCATGAGTCAAAACAAGTCGACTGTAATTATGTCGACTTGATACAAAAAAAAAGTACAAATAAAGTCAAAAGTTGAGTTCTATTTTCCTCCATTGAGCAATCTCAAGTCTGCAATAATTTACCAAAAAAAAATAAAAATAAAAAAACAACACTTTTGTTTGTCCTCACCATTCCGATGCATTTTTTCAATATGCTCCAGATGCTAACATCATTTCGGGAGAACATTGGAGCCGGTAGAGATGTTCTGTGGAAAAGCAGTTTTGAAGAGGGAGAAACAATGTCAGCTCTAATTTTGCATCGGTGTACCGGACATTCACTGCAAAAGCTTTCTATATGCCACGTTGGCACAAGTCGATGTCCATTTCATCCTTCCTCGATCAGAGCGTATGAAATCATTCTTTGCAACAATTCAGTAGAATCAGAAGAGTGCATTTTAAAGCCATTCGATGCAAGTTTCAACCATTTTAAAAGCTCCGTGCAAGATAACACGGCCGAGCGATGTCACCTGACACCCGCCAAGCTCGCAAATGAGCTGCTCCAGCCCGGCCACGGGTGTCATTCGAGATTTGTACAACTGTGCAATGTACATGTTGTGGTACACTTTTATATCTTCAAATTTTCATTTTCGGAGAACATATATGTGATTTGATCACCAGCAAGCGTGTTAAAACGGGCGCCGTTGTCTCTCTCTCTACCTGTCACAAGCGCGAGGCTGTTTTACAATTATTTGTGCAGCAGGCAGATGGTGTCTACCCAAATATACGCCATTATTTCTGTTAAATAAACAAGACAGAAAGAGGCTGGGTGGCGAGGGAGCATCTGTGCTTGTCGGAACAGAGCAGTGATGCAAGATGGAGCCGCTTCTGCCCCACTTTGTCTCCTGCCTCTACCTTCAATATAGGACATTCGTCTTTTACGGTACCGTTAGTCCACATATGATTAGAATCGTCCCGCCGGCTTCGTGTTTGCTCCCCCCAATGAAACGATGACAAATGTTTTTGGCAGCATTACCATGTTAATGTGTCTAAAAAGTTATTCAGGATAAAAATAAATATCATGACTTGTACTAATGGGGTACTCTAAGGTTGAATAAAACTAGCTTTGTGTAAGCGATGAGTCGATAGTGATTTGTTTGGTGATGCTACTATCGATTTAATTAACAGTCTCTTTCAGAGCTAGTCAGCTACTGCCGCATCTTCCGTGCCAGAACCAGCTAAATTATTCAAGGATCACTTGTTGGATCAGGCAAGAGAAGCCAAGTTGGAATGAGCCTGGACGGAAATGAAACATTGCCCCCTTCGTTCAGTAACAAAGCACCCGGGGGCCTTGTGCACGAATGGGCAGGGAGAGTCGGATCGGGGAGGAAAAGCAAAGCAGGTTGGTTATTCTCTGCGGATCAGACGCTCTCAAAAACACACCTGCTGGCAAAAGCACAACTGAACACCAAGATCGTATCCTGTAATTCAGTCTTTCGTGCTCATTGGACTTGCAGGCTATTATTTCACTTGAAGATTGTAAGCGCACACTTGCAACCAAAAAACAAAACAAATTTAAAAACAGACACGCAGAGACATCTCTTGAGACGAGGCCGCATCTCCAACTGTCATCCCTTGGCAAATAACTGGAGAAGGTCACACCTGTGCTTCTTGGCGTCATTATTCCGGTTACCATGGTCACCCTCCCCTGACATTCCGGCGGCCCCCCCGAGCGGGCTGGGATGGCGGCGGCTGCTGAGAAGGGGGTCGTCTCTCCCCTCGTCCTCTTCACAGGAGTAGCTGGCCACCGAGAGAAAGCCGCTCACCGACAGCTCCGACTCGGACTCTGCGGGGCGGACGATGACGGCCTCGTCACAAAGAAGCTACTCCATTTGCGCTCCAACTCCCCCTCCCGCCTCCCCACCTGGGTGTTGTGTTCCAATGAGGAGCCATGTCGAGGCTTCACCCCGCCTGCGACACTGCTCGCTTGGCACTCCCTGAGCCGCAAATCGTCAATCAGACGATTGTGTAGGTGAGCTCATTCATTACAATTTTCCGCCACGTTGTGGGATTACGTTATTACATGTTGGGCACTTCAACTAGGGCACAAAAAATACACGATTGTGATTTTGCACGCCGTTACGCTCAGCAGAAATGCCAAAGAAATGCTGAGCTTGGTGTCTCGCATGGCCCCAGCGTGTGTGTGGTCAGTGCTCAGAGCGCCCCATGAATAATGCAGACATCCCTGAGGGAGGCGTCTGCTCGTGAACAAATATCTTTGTGGGGGGCTTCTGGGATGAGGGGTGTTAGTAGATAGGCCATATTTATTCTAGCAAGTCTGCACGAGACAAGCAAACTTTGAATACATTAGTGGGGAAAAATAAAAATATAAAAATAATCGCTCAAACTTGCACAAAAGAGAAAAGGGGCTTTGCCATATTGAAAGAAGCAGCACCACGGGGACGATACTTCATAGTGTGACATTGGAAGGGTAATGCTAGAGCGAAGCTCAACAGAATGGCCAAGTCCAGTCACTCGTGAACAGGAAGCAAACTCGGAACCAAAGCGCCGAAGGCCCTCAATGAATTGGTTTCATCAACCAAAGGTTTTGGTGTGGAAAAACAAAAGAACCCTTCAGAGACCGCTGACGTCAAAAACGCGTGGACCCAAAACTCCGGTCAAAATTAAGGGTATTGGAGAGTCTGGGCAATGAAGTGGGAGCTGTTGCTGATGAACTGATCATTTGAATCACGGGTGGTGGCAAAGAAAAACAATTAAAACATGCATGAGTGACCCTCGAGTACCGATTTGGACACCCCTGATGTCGAAGATGGGACATTTGGCCGCAGCTACCTCCCTCATCTTTGATCTTTCGGTGAAGTGGCTTTTTACTTTTGACGCAGAACATTGGCAATTTAAAGTGACGCAGCGAGCAGTGAAGTACAAGCCCTCGGGAATCTTCGCAAAAGATGGAGAATATCAGAGAGTCTGGGGGGGCGGGAGGCATCATTCAAAATTTGTGCCAATCATAGGCAAGTATAAGTCTCTAGAAATCAAAGAAAATCTCTGAGAAGTCCATCTTCCACAAGGACCACTGGAAATGACCAAAATTGCGCTAAAATGGCTGCTTTTAACCAAAATGTTTCTCTTCCTGTGTGAATTCTTGAAACTGCTTTGTGGCTCAACTCATGCTTGACGTGCCGAACACATAAAACAGGATTTTTTTCATGTCTTTTTTTTTTTTTTTTTTTTTTAAGCAATTCCAGGTAACGCGACCGAGTGGGTTCTCGGGCGTGGGACCCCAATCAACTGTCATTTTTCAGTGGGACAGACATCTGCAAAATGTGTCCTGAAACCTCCCGAAAAATGGCAATTTATTGGGCCCAATGAAATTTCAGACTTTTCAAAAGCCAAATCACTCATCGCGTTTTGCCATGCGTTACATATTGGCAACTTTATTTAAAGTGTTTTGCTTCTTGACGAGGGGGTGTTCCGCCCGAGTCTGCTGACCTGACACGGCATCGTAGAAATCATCTTCGGCGAGGGTGCAGAGGGTGGGCGACCTCCTGCTCTTGCTCAGCGACTGCTTGAGCTCGTGGTGCTCTGTGGCGATCGTCTGCAGCGCCTCGGTCAGAGCTCTGCTCCTCTCTTGCTCCTGCTCTAACTTCAGGCTCCACACCTGCACAAAGGCAACAAACATTTCACTATAACGGTAACAGCAGATTTGTTTATTATTTTTTTAAATGCAGCACTGATATGCCAAAATGTGTTTTGATCAAAGTCAGCAAAGCCGGAATGCGCGTACCCCGCTTTAGAGATCATTTGGCAAAAGTCACTGCTGTTTTGAGTGGCACGAGTGCCTCACGGTTCTGCATTGTTGTGACCGTGCCATTAGATCCCAGTTCCTCCGATCAACACCCACGGCGGGATTGAGTGTCCCTTCGTTGCAACCTGAACCACGCCTCTGAGAGATACAGCAGATCAGTGTTTCCTATCGTCATGTGCTATCCGGCGCTATCCAGTAATCATCATACAGCCAAAATAGCTGCTTTAACTGGAGTTTAAGAAAAAACAAAACTGAAATTCCCATCCCTTTATTCAAAACATTCATTCAATTTAAATTATGATTCAGTTACTGATTTGGTCCATACCATGTCAGAAAATGGGAAAAAATGTTGATCAATTGTTTTCTTTTGGTTCAGCACAAATTTGTTTTTTTTTTTTGAGGACGAAAAAATTTTGATATTTACTGATGAGAAGCTGAGATTCCATGCATTTGGACAAAAAAAAAAAAAATCTGAAATCCATTCATCAATTATCATAAACAATTAGCAATTAATTTGCTCATTGATGAGTTGTCGATTGTTGGAGTGATTCTTGGAGCTGCGCCTGTATACTAAAGTGAATACAGACTGACAGACAGGCATGCAAATCTTTTGAATTTTGCAAATGTCGAAAAATATCAGTCCCTGCGCACTACAATTTGAAAAATGAGCATTGTTAAGTCAGTCCACATGGCACTGGGGTAAAAAATGTTGGAGTTAGCGTCCTTATCAAGGCTGAGGAAACATGCCCATTCCTAACTGAGTGTAGCAGAGAAAGACATGATGGTTAAAGCAATACAAATAGCGACCGACGTGTTCAGTGATTCGATTGATCTGTTTTGCGTTTTATCTTTCTGACTGAAGGAGAGCGTCGCAAACATCCATTGAAGCCTCTTCCTTCGCCACACACACCAGCTGACAGGTATGAAAATGATCAAAATGAAATCTGACTGTTTGGCTAATGAGCCAGCAGAACCACTTCCTCACTTGTGGCATAAATGTGCTTTCTCACAATTTGCTTTTTCTCTTTCAACGAGGGTCTCGCGGCGATGTAAGAAATGCCTGCTGGCAAACAGTTGCAGGTTCTTGGCTCCAGAGCCGTCCAGGAAACGGACTTTGTTGTGCAACAATTTGTGCCAGCTCCTTCACCCTCGCCGCATCCTCCCGTCTATTTTAAGCTCCGTTCATGCCGCGTGCCAATGGGATAATTGGGAGGGATGCTCGGCCCTGGCAAACCCTGCTCAAGGTAGAGCCGAGAGCCGTTCTAAAAATGTGCTGATGGAGAATACTTCAAAAGGGCAAATCTGTGACTGGTCCAAATGTGTGCAGCCGATCAGTGTGTGAGCATTTACATGCATGCGCATTCTTAAAGGCCAAAGTGAAACATCTCCTTTCGAGGCCTCAAAGGAGTAAATTAGTGGTGAGGCCGGCAGATGTTTTTTTTTCTCCAGGGTTCGGTTGGAGGTGTTTAATGAGAGGTCAGGCTTGGGGTCGCTATGATCTCCTGGGGTGTGAAGGCCGATTTCTGTCATCGTCCTAGCAGTGTGCCGAAAGAAAAGAATGACCTGCTGCACGTCTCCTGCCTTTGATACGAGAGTAGCTTTGACAGATGAGCTGAGTGAGTTCATGCTGGATACCACAAGCTTTTGGAATGGAATCCAACTGCTTTGAACAGGAAGGCACAACATTAAATCTCACATTTTTGGGAGCTACAGCATGCCAAATTTTGACTTTTTGGTGCAAAAAGGCCATGCCCCTTTTTTGCAGAAAACGTCAAAATTCCCCAACCCCTGCGCCGATCGACCAAAAATATGAGATTTTGTGTTGTCCCATCAATATATCAACAAGTACACCAAGTTTGATTAAAATCTAAAAGTTCAAATTTTCAGATGGGGGTGGGTGGGGGATTTGGCATGCAACTTATTGTGATAAACAACCACAATCAGTTTGGATGTTAAAAAAATTGGTAGGTTTTGTCGCCTATTTTTGAAACATTTGGTATGATGATTTTGTGGGAATGTTCTCGGGAAGACCCTCTTCTGTTCCCAGTACACAAAGCAAAAGGGATGCCAGAAAAAGTTTGGGTGAGGAAAAGCCCGTCAAAACACATTGCCTAAGAACTAACAACAGAGATTCCCAGACGTACTGCACAATATTATTTATTATATTTCTTAAACTGTCTGCATGAGTGGCAGCATTGAGCCTCTCTGTGATAAATGAAACGTTCTCTCACTTATTGTCTACTTGCAGCCAACCTTGCGCCAGCCATCTTTAGATAACGTCCCCCCCTTGAGCCTGCACACTAGAACAAGCACAGATTTACAGGTCTAGTTCGACAGTCGCTGCCCAAATGGGTCAGACAATGCGTACGCTGCTTCGGGGGTAACATCACATTCCCTGTGAAGCTCTCGGAGGAATTTGGCGTGCTTCTCTATTAAATATTTGCCGAGACCCTTTAGTACAACTGCAGCAGCGAGCGAGAGGAGGATGTTATGTGGGTTAATGGGCTGGTGGAATTAGTATTAATGCCATATAATACAGCCAATCTCAGCACTATTGAAAATATAATCCACTTAATATATAAAGTAGCAACAGCTTAGCACAGGAAAAAAAAAAGATGGTGAGGTCATTTTTACACACTACAGTTGATAGTGATTAATTCAGCATGCATTGTTATGCCGTTTTTTCCCCACCCCGCACTTCATGCTCTGTAAAATTCCTGTGATAACAGAGCCAGCTCAGCCCACTGACAGGAGAGCAGCTGATGGCAAATCATGCAATGATGATGAGCACAGGCAACGTACATGTGCTTGTGTAAACAAAACACGCAAGTTTAGTCATACAATGCCCGAAGTTTACTTTACATGAAAACCAAGTTTTGTTTTTTTTAAGTCTTTCGTACAGTTTAATCTGCACAGAAACGCGCTTCTCTGTGTTCTGCTGCTGAATCTATCAAAGGCTTGTTTTCATTAAAAAGAGGAGACGGGCAGTGCGGCAGTCATTGGCACTTCGAAACACGCTCATTTTCACGTTCTGAATTAAGTACATTAAGCCAGAAGGAAGATGTAGCTCGAGGTTTTGTGGGAAGAATAAAATCTACAGTGTTCTACCTGGATGAGAAAGCCGTCCTCGTGTCCCCTCTTACTTCGCTTTTACACATAAAAGCAAGCCTGCCAGCGTGTGATCAAGCGCGCTCGCCTGGAACTGAACTGGCCAATATGCACGCGCGTGCGCACTCGCACACACAAACCTCCGCTTCCTCCCTCACCGACCCCCTGGAGTATATATGTAAATGTGCGCTGATCTGCAAAGCTAATGCAGACCTAAGCACAAAAGGGGATCTTTCACCACTGGATTACCACTCTGACCAAATGCTACAACCACCTGGGACAAGTGCCTGCAAAAAAACCTCGACCCTCACGAGTACACGAAGGAGCTTACCCACGAGAGTAGGGGCGCTCAAGGATCTTGTAACCATTCGGTATCTTTCCAGAGACCAATAAAAACACAAGGCTCAATCAGTGTACATCACATACAAAAACATTGATGGGGAAAAAAAAAACATTTATACATCTCAAACTAATTTCAGCTCATACGAAGTGCAACACACTCTGATAATCAGGCCTAACTTGAGCATTTTTTTCCCTACTGATGATCGAAGTCAGCAAATACCCAATTATCGGATGTTTCTGAAAGATTGCGCTTCGTTGATTATACAGTCTTTTTTCCTCTTCCCAATCTGCTTGGAAAAACGTTTGTAGTGGACAATCCCAAACGTTTCAACTGTCCAATATTTACCCTGCCAAATCCTTGTGTGTGGTCAATGAAGTCCGGTCGTGCTATGAAAGGACAACCAATTAGGAAGCAACCTGAAGCTCATGTCTTTGCCGGACACAAATAAACAACCAAATGGTTATGTTGAGCGTCATTCATTCACCACTAAGACACAACTAGGACTGAAACATTTTCTTCTTTGCATTTTCCGGCAGTCTCGATGCCCCGTGGCGCCATGCTGCCTCTAACAGGTCAGTCCTGGTACTACAACATACGTCTGTTTTTTTCCTCATCGTGTGTGGGGGGGCTGTGACATTTTAAAAATCGGTTAAAATGTTGAAGAAAAAAAAACCCACGGTGAAAATATGAAATTACCTCCTCTTGTTTGGACAACAGCTGAAGACACAGCTGAAGAGCAGCACAGGTTTCACTGGAGAGCTCACTGGTCTCTTTGGCTTTCAGGATAAGAGGTGCAGCCTGTGCTGGGGGGGATAAAAAAGTATATATAAAATGAAATCACCAAATAAGCTAATCCGGTAAAGTGACTTTTTGCCCTCACCACAGTTTTCCTCATTCTTCACCATTGAAAGAAAAATGGACACCTCACTCTCCAGTTTCTGCTGGCACGCACTGGCGGCCTGCAAGGCATCGGAGCCACGGAGCTGAGAACCGACGACACGCGTGACTCGTCGTCATCAGCCAATTAGTTTGAATCTGACCTGCAGAGCTTGCGTTACGTTGCTCGCCGCGACGCTGCTCTCACCGTCCGCGTCGTCCACGTTCTTCTGGTGGCGGCTGCCGTGTTGAGTGCTGTAAGAGGAGTGCGCCTCAAAGGCATCCAACCACCTCTGAGAGGAGAACGCCCAGGAGCATTTAAACACACGGCAAGTCTGTCATTGCATGCATATGAAGCAACACAGCAAAGGAGAAGCAGTTCACTTTTCGTGATGCCACAGAGTCCGTCTTTGAGGGCACTTTAAAACATAACGCAGAGTTGTCAGCGCACTTCAGCATGAAGAAGCAGTGATCCCATGGTTTGACCTGGAATTATAAAACTACACGTCATCACCCGGAAAACCCGACTGGGAAGCACACATGGGCAATTTATGTCAAGGACAGGCAAGACACAGATCTGTCAGACCCTAAAGTGATCGTACAGGAGCACACATGCACAAATGTTGTATCGACATGCCAGATGGGCTGCGACCTTCTCGCCATACCATGCAGTAAGCTTGTGCTAAAGATCTAGAGCCCTGTTTGTTCATGCCAGCTCCCGATTCAGCCCTAGAAAGAGAAGGAGGGTGCATTAGTTGTACATTTGACCTCCAAATGCAATCAGAGTTTCCTGTGCTCACATGGTGGCATGAAAAAATAAAAATCTAATCCTTCGACACTATTTATGCACACTCAACAAAGATGTTACAATTTGACATATGTGAACCCTGCATTAGGAAACCGCCGAGGGAAAACGTAAAATACAAAAACTCACTGTCTGGAGTACCAGGAAACTGTTCCGTCCTCAATTACCACCCAGTGGAGACGCCACCCGATAAAGCGTGAACTCTGTGGCAGGAAAATACTACATATAAGCAATAGAATAAACAGTCTGAACAAAACATTCTGATGTTATTTTCATGAAAATTATTCATTCAGAAAAGTGTACGTGAGTTTTAAATTTCTATAGGAAAAAAAAAAAAATCCATCCAGTAAATGTGATGAGGTCTGAAAAAGGACATTGCTCGTCCTATCGAGAATAAACAGCAACACACTTTGACATCTGGGTACCTTCCAAAGGGGGCCTTCAATCTTCTGCACTCTGCTGCTCACTTCCTTTTTTTTTTTTAGGAAACAAAAAAAAAAAAAAAGACAAATTTGTCAGACTCCCAAGCACACGTTATTTCCATTATTTTAAAGCTCGGTGAAGCCAGCATGCTGGATTTGTCTGAACGAGGGAGCAGGTGTCAGCCACAGAGACAGAGCGAGAATGACACAAAAGCACACAAATGGGGACAATCCCAACAAAGCTAGAGTTTGATGCCAAATTGTGTCATGCGCACTCTATCAACTATAAATGTGCTTTTCTGTATGCCTTGACAGCCATGTAAACTTGCAAAAGTCTACACCAAATTTTGGTGCTGCAACAGCATGCCATGCATATTACGCATGACGCAAGTGGCAAACATTTATTTTTAGTTCCAATTAGATCATGAAGTACCCCCAAAGAGACCAAATGATTCATTCCCCTCACCTTGTCCCGAAAGTCAAGTAGAATTTGTTTGAGCTCATGAGTGCGGACCAGGTCCAACGCTGTCTGCTCTGGAAGGCGGCATATGCACTCATTTGAACACAGGGGGATTGTGAAAATGTCAGTCGGGATGGATGTCGAGCGTGTACCTTGGTTGTTTTTGACAGTCTGGCTGGCACCGTTTTTGAGCAGTTTGATAATGCACTGCTTGTGCCCTCTGTAGGCAGCACAGTGTAAAGGCGTATTGCCCACCGAATCCTTGCAGTGCACATCCACGGCTTCTTTGCCACCGAGCTTAAAAAGGAGAACAGAAAGCGGAATACAGTTGAACACATCCCATCCATCGTGCATTTTGCGAGGCGTGTCCTGCTTCAATTTAACGATATATTTATTGCAACGGGCCAACAGTGGTGTGCTCTCAGTAGACGTTGAAGGAAACAAATACTTATTCAGCTACATGAGTGGGATAAAATATTAGAAACCCCTCTGCGTGATGCAGTATTCTACATCTACTGCACTGTCAAGAATACCTCAGTAAAATCACAGTAAATTATTGGCAGCGAGGGACGCCAGTAATTTATCGTTAGTTGACAATGCGCCTGCTGTAGCTCATTTTAACAGTGCGCTATATTTTGAATTACAGTACATTACCACAGGATAACAGTGGGTCGTCATTTTACAATTTGTCTGTTTTTTTTAACAGTGTGCTACTCTATTTTGGACTACAGGACAAGACAGTAGGATATCTGTGTTATGGTATTTTTATAGATTTTATAAAAATAATGATGGATCACATTTATTGACTTTCACAGTTTGGTGGCAACAAACTACGCATTAACCGCAACGACACGCGATTCAGATAGAGCGCCGTTTGAACAGCAGGGCCCGGACGAGCCGCTCTGCCTCCTGACCCTCGGCCGCTCCGTAGTTTGATGTCTTGTGTTTTTTTTTTTTTTTTTTTTTTACTTACAATTGTGTGCCTTCTTTAGCTAAAACCTTACAAACGTATCCAGCAACATGCCGGACACTTCTGAAAATCAGTAGCAGGTTAAAGTGTACCTCAGATGGCACATTTGAAGTATGAATGGGGATTGATGATAAATATCTGGTGTTTCCATCTTTGTGTCTGGACTGTCTTTTGTTCGCCAAAACAGTACCACAGGAAAGTTGTTTTTTTTTTTTCCAAATTTGGTTTTAAATAATGCGCCACTTGGAATAGTTAAATTTTTGCTAATTTTGGATTGTATCTTCTAAAATTTGGGATAATCTGAGTGACTGGGACTCCGTTCAGCTACTTCCATATATTTATATTTTTCTTCAACGATCCGAACATGCCTGTAAAGCTGGTATGCTAACCACACGCATCACCAGCATGATTATTAAAATAAACAACCCCTCAAAAAAAAAAAAAACATTCATGTGACAGACACTAACTATCTTTGACATAGCGGAGACATCCCCCTCTCTGGCGGCATCCAGCAGTCTCTCCTCGCGCCGCCTGGCCTCTCTTCTCTCGGCGGCTGAAGCACGCAAACAAAAAATATTTGACAGACGCAACAAGAGCACCAACAGTCAACTGTCTCTGGACAATCTCTTCTAAAGACAGTTTTTGTACCCTCGAGCATGGTTGTGATTTCATCATCCTCTGTGACGTCTTGAGGGATCTGCGCTGTTCCATTGATGACACTGGCCGACGCATCATAACGTAGCAGCGACAGAACAATCTCCTGAGGGGGATCAACAGCAAAGAGATCACATTTGAAGACTAACTCGCCCAAATAAAATTGTTGACACGATGCTGGCAATTGTAGAAGACCTCAGCGAATCGCCCAACAGCTCGGTTTGGGTATTGAATGAGCGCTGAGTTTACTGGAGCTTTCTTTGCGATGTTTGTACTTCAACAATATTAAAAGAAAAACAAGTGCATTTCACAGAGAGCTGAGGATCAACTCTGCTTGTTTATTCATTGGCTCTCTGTTGCAACACTTATTCGAGAAGAAGATGCTGACTCAATGGAAGACAAAAACTTCATGTGTAATAATTTGGCAAAATGTGTGCTTTTTGTATTTCTTTGTACATAAAATGTGATTATCTATGAATCAAAAAGTGAAAATCATAAAACTGCTGATAGGAAAGTAGTAATTGATAGTATAGGAGTTTCAGAGTGTGACATACTTTTTAAATCAAATGATCAGTCAGCAGGTTATTTTTAAGGTTAATATTTTAGGATCATAATTGCTTGGTTGTTTTTGTGGTTTACCTTTCTTCCAGTGCTGGCTGCTTTGTGGAGAGGCGTGTCGCCCAAGTCGTCCTGGATATTCACATCAGCACCTGCCTGCAATCAGTCGCGAGCTATTGAACAAATGTTTTGTTTTGTTTTTTAAATAAGGGACGGTCCACTTAGCCCGATGAAGAAAAAGCTTAACGTCAGTAAATGTGATCAAACTATGATCAACTTATCAAAATTCATATGCACATCTCTACTGAAGGCCATTTTCAACCTCTGAAAAAACACACAAGATCGTAGAGATGTTTTGTATTTTATGGGCATTTATTAAGCCTTTTCCTCTGCGTAGACGCTCACGAGAGAGAAAGAGCTTAACATCACTTATTGTCAGAAAAGTACAACGAATCTGCAACTATACTGTAAATCCCACTTTTAGCAGCTCATCTACGACGTCCCCGTTTCCATGGTAACACGCTAGGTGGAGTGGCGTCCATCCAGAGCTGCCTTGTGACTTTGCTGTGGAAAAAAAAACAAGCAAAAAAAAAAAACTTTTCGACACCGTTGGACGCATCACATTTCGTTTGCCTTACATCGACAGTTGATGTTGAGAGAAGAGATCTGGTCGACTCGCGACTTAAGAAGCCGCCGAACGCGAGAGGAACTGCCGTCTTTTGCCGACTCGAGGAGCAGCTGCTCGTCCTCCATCAGAGTGCTTGTGATATTACCGTCAATGCACAAAAGACAAAACGTCTCCTTCAAAAAAAAAAAAAGCGCACGCGCCCCAGTGACAATTTAGCACATGGCTGTTAGCGTGTCCACTGGAATTATGCATAATGACAATAACTGGTCAAATAGTGGAGACTTACATTCGAGTTCGGTGGGCTTTTATGCACCTTCAAAGAGTTAGCGTGCCGAGAGGAACACGTTTAGCTAAACTGTAGTGGCCCAATCAGCTGACAGCTGTGGGCAACAGTCACGTGACCATGCGCCTAGAAAGCGTGGACTCCAGGGCCGTAGCGAGGCGACTGGTGCCCCCCCCCCCCGCGCCGAAAATCCTCTGAAGCCTCAACATATGCAAATTAATTGCAAAATAATATTATGTCCAAATCACTCATTGTGAACTTTAATGTGAACGCATGATTTTATCCATCAGCATAAATCATCCAAATACTAAAAACATGAAAATATGGCAAGTTAAGCAAGCACTATACTTCCTACACATATTTGAAACATGGAAAGATTGGAATTAAGATACTTGAGATGAGCCCATAGTAGAAGTACGGGTCATTGGACATATGCACAGAAGGATTTGCGACATTATATTTTGAACAGGCTGATTACCGTATTGGCCCGAATATAAGACGGTGTTTTTTGCATTGAAATAAGACTGAAAAAGTGGGGGTCGTCTTATATTCGCGGTCTAGACATTATACCCATTCACGACGCTAGATGGCGCCAGATATCTGCTGAACTTGACTTCCCAGGCCAAAGTGAACTCCTGCCACGAAGAATAAAAATAAAAATAACGGTAGCATGAAGAAGAAAAATAAAAAAATAGGAAAAGAGAAGAAAATAATAGAAGCGATAACAGAAAATGGAGAAACGTAGTGACAATCTGGAGAAAAGTGGGTCGAAGATCGGCCAGGTTAACCGGCAGCTGAGAAGTTATGATGTAATTTACACTTCAAAAACTTGAAGCCATTCATTGACGAATGTGATTGCACTTTAGTTTACATATTTAAATGTTCAGATATTAAGATTTGAATGAGGCAAAATAACATGCTTTTTCTCTCAAATATATTGTTAGAATCATTTGTAAACTTGAGTCTTGAAAAAGAGGGGGTCAATTAAAAATTAATTTGGGGTTCAAAAAGTCTTTTTTCAAACTTGAGTCTTGAAAAAGAGGGGGTCGTCTTATAATCAGGGCCGTCTTATATTCGGGCCAATACGGTATCTATTGGAACCAGCTGAACATTTAAATATTTCATCCCTACCATTTTCTGAATACATTGGGGAGGAAAACTCACTCTTAACAGAGCCCACAAGATAATTGCTCAGGATAGACTTTTAGAGACATCCGACAATTAGATCTTTGCTGACAGAAATGGTCAAATTCATCCTCTTGTGAATGTATTCCTTTCCACAAAGGTGTTATTCAATATGTGCCCAATCTAATGTTTGCGCCCACCAGGTCAGAGAAGGTGCACCATGCTGCGTAAAAACACACTTCACAGTATCCTTTTAAATGTCAGGCAATGGACACACGCGGTTATGGGTCTATTTTCGCGACGTTTAACAAACACCTCAAAAGATAGATGGCCGCCAGCATCTGAAAACGGACTAATGGGGCATTAGACTCGACCAAAGGGTATTTTCATCTGCTCTGAAGCTAATTAGCTTCACTGCCTTTTTTGTTAATACTTTGGTGCCATTCATCTTCTATACAGGGCCATCAGTAAAACATAAATACGACTGACCTCATGTTACGAATGCTTGTTTGTCGATATGTGCCGAGCGACTGGCTGGCGACCAGACCTGATTCTTGCCCCACGTCGGCTGGCATCGGCTCCAGCCCACGCGCAAACCAAGTGACGTGGTATGGAAGATGGATGGACATGTGATCTTAAGAACGGTTAAGAACTAACTCAATGTCAGACACTGATTGACGCACACCCATCAAATCAGGTCTGGCAAGGGGCAAGCAGCTCTCTGTTCAAGTTGCTACTAATTAGCATGGCAATTTTTGTAAGCTGTCACACTTCTTAAGCAAAGGGGATGGAGTGTGAGTGCTCCGGAGCGTAATCCCTCACAAATGACAAGATAATGGAGGCAAAGTGAAGCCACCGCATCGAAAGGAACCAGGCGATAGAATCCCCCGCAGGGATATTTTAGGGACGGACAAGGGGAGAGGGAGTAGGACTGGGAGAGGCAATGAGGGGAAGTATGAGCAAGACAGAGTATTCTGCTCACAACGAGAGTGGGAGAAAATTATTTGACTCCTTGCGAATGTAAATGACCCTGGAGGAACGTGAAATGGGTCTGAAAGTCCGTCTTTCAACACTGCATCGTTTTGACGTTGTAAAAGTGGATGGCTACACACTGATCAGACAAGCAAGAGCTGGAATTGAACCTCTGCACTGTGGGGTTGACGTGCTAACCACTGGACTACCGGGCCGCAGGTTATACGTTAAAAAAAAAAGACGCTTTTTTCATTTTCCCACCTGTGTACACACCTGGCAATTCCCTCCGCCTGCATGGCTCTGTTTCTTTACTTCTTCCTCAACTCACTTATGGATGTAACGTATTTGAAGTCCTCCACACTTGCTACATCCTCCCCCTCCACCCTTCTCATTCATGCACATACAGTATATCCTCTTACTTTGGCTAATCTTCAAATCTCTCTTTTACCTGTGCGCCTCCACCTCATCCCTACTTTCGCTATTGCAAAAATCGAAGGTTCTCAAACTTGAACCCTGATGCACTCCCACCTCTATCTTAAACTCCTCTGTCACACCTACAGCACACGTCAACACTGATCTGCTGCCCTCATATGTGTCCCTGTACTACTCTAACATACTTTTCTGTCACTCCAGGTGCCCTCATGCAGTACCACAGTTCCTCTGTGGGTACCCTGTTGTATGTTTTCTCTAGAGCAGGGGTGTCTAACTCCGGTCCTCGAGACCCTATCCAGCCCATTTCACGTGATCCTTGTCCAACAGACTATGAACGTGTTCCTCATGTCGTGGCCAGCGAGTGTCTACATCAGGGCTGTCAAACTCATTATTGTCGCAGGCCACTTTGGTGTTACGTTTTCCCTCGGAGTGCCGTTATGACGGTGAAACCAAATAAATGTTTAATCGACTCATCACGTTATTACACAACAAATTGATGGATTACCAGTTTTTAAAATCAGTCAACTATAAAAGTTTGCTCTGTTATTGTTCAAGTGATTGTAAACAGGGTGACAAAACAATCGCACGTTTTTTTTAATTGCACCTGATATTTTGGTACAGATTTTAGCAGGTATCATGCAAGTTGACGCGCATGATTTGCTTTTGCGGGCCACATAAAATGACGTGGTGGCCCGGATCTGGCCCCTGGGCCTTGAGTTTAACACCTGTGGTCTACATTGTGGACTGAGTAGCCCAGTTGGCTTCAATCGCTCAAAAGATGACAAACACATGGAAAAGTTTGACACGTCAATCTCGGTGATGAATTTTGATGGTCCACCAAGTGTTGATAAGTGTGTTGTCATTCTATCGCGTCGATAGTCGTTTGTCACTGTCAAAACAAAGCCTGTTCCATCCACTGCCATCAGGACTGAGGAATCTCTGGGAACCTAATCGCTATAAGAAAATGCTTTATGGGCCGATGTTCGATTGGTAAATAGACTTAAATGCTGTAGTGCTCAAAAGGCAGCAATATGCCTCTAATATCTACAGCAGAGAAAAGGTACAATGGATTCAATTATACGCATGAGGAGACCAAATTCGATAACTCCAAAAAAAAAACGAAAAAGTCAAGCTATCTAGTGAATCACCAGAATAATTATAGACAGAAATACAACAGTACTGATACTCAAGTGTGAGCACCCGAATAACAATTAAGATAAAAGACCCGTGTGATCCATATTGCGAACAAAATATTTCTTTGGCATCCATCTTCGCTAATTGAATGTTTCGAATCAATAGTGCGCTTGTTTCTGGAGAGCCTCGCTGGATGCCCTTATGAAATGAGGGTGGAGCGCAGCGATACATGGATTAATGAAACATTTAACGAGCTCACGTCATGACCGGGGCGCAGCCACAGCACACCCGAAGTCAACGAAATGCCAGCAGCAGGTAACAGATTGTTGGGACCGGGAAGTCATCCGAGTTCGCTTTGGCTCCGACGTGGCGACATAAGCATGGAAACTGTGACCAACTTTGAAGGCACGAAGCCACTTTGTCTATAACGCTTGAAACAAGAGATGAGATGATTGTTGTCTGATATTGTCCGATTCAAATAATGCCGGGTGAGGTACAATTGAAATGTTTGCATTGTTTCATTCATCTGTTTAAAAAATGTTTTCTAATGCTGCAGTTCGGTTTTCCACTCAGCTTCGTCCTGCCACTCGTGTCCAGCCACAAGGGTGTTTTCATATTCTCGGCAGTTTGCTCATATTTAATTTCCTGATTTCTTTCAGTGTTTAATGGTTCGTTTTTTTTCCGCCTTTCTGTTCTCCTCAGCCACGTTTCCCAGAGTGCTGCATTGTTTCCTATCGTGGCGAGTTAATTACCTGTCTTGGTTTGTTACCTTGAATCTTGTTTTTTCGGCACTTATGTCAATTTAGTGTATTTGGACTATTTCAAAGAGCCCCAGTTTTCTGATTTTATGTTTTATGAATTAAAAATTCCTGCACTCCTGGCCTCTTTGCTTTTCTGCACCTGGTCCTCCTCACTCCACCACGCAAACCCTGAACCATGAAACTATGACTCTTTCTTAACTTGCCATGACCACTGGGGGAGCTCAAATACGCTTGGGCCCCGCCGGTGTCAGGCCAGATAATTGACTTTTGGGTGTTTTTCGATTTTATCTGAGAGTTTTTTTTTCATCCACATTCCCCCCCTTCACCATATAGAATATATGATGCATGTTTTTTGATGTTTTCTCAATTTTTTTTTTTTTGTGGCGGGTGGGATTATAATTTTTTTTCAGATTAATCAAAGGGCCACTCAAAGTTTGGCCCGTGGCCCCCCACCAGTTTTCTCATCCTTGATCTAGATCACAGGTGTCAAACTCAAGGCGCGGGGGTCACATCTGGCCTGCCACATCATTATATAAGGCCCGCGAAAGCAGCTCAAAGATGTCAACTTCCATGATTCTTTCTGAAATGTCTACCAAAATTTTAAATTGTCATATGTAATAAATAAGAGATATATTCCAAGTATTTTCTTGTGACCAAACCACTCAAGATAGTAACTTAAACAACAGTTGAATCAACAGTTATTCTTGACTTCATAATATGGTTTCAGCCATAACAACCCACCAAGTGAAATGAGTTCGACACCCCTGGTCTAGATCATCCCACAGTGTGTCAACTAGCGGAAAGGTTTGAATATAATTAATTAAATTAACCAATAACATCGGTCTTTTTTCCCTAACAATTTTGAGACTGAAAGTGGAGATTTTATAACATTGTGTGGCTGTAAGTGATACCAGCCTAGAAGTAGACTCAATGATGGGGAAACAAAATATATGGGTGATTTGTAAAGAGAAAGCCTTGCGCCCCCCCCCCCCCCCGACAACCATAAAAACCGAGCCCCGCCACTGGCCATGACATGGCTGCTTCATGATTTCTCTTCTCCCATACACAAATGATTACCTTAAGGCTACTTTGACATGTAATATAAATGTGAACACTTGACTCGATCAACATTCACCAAATGTCAAGATTCCTCAAAAGGTGAACCAGTCAGTGTGGCCAATGTTGGGTCCTTCGCACATGAGCATTACGGTTGTCACTTAATTGTAGCTGTTATTTCAGATGGGAAGGGCGGGGGTGGTTAAGCCTGCTATTATACGACGCTATCGTCACTACCCCAGAGCAACAGCCACATGCAAACACTTGAGTGGTAAAATAATGGAATGCCACAGCAGGCTCAGCGTAATCAACAACACTACAAACGAACCCGCTGGGCTTTGTTTCAGAGTGTCCTCCAAAATTCAAATGAGTCACTTTTCTTGTTTTATTCATTTTTTTTCAACTCAACATGTGTTGGACATGCATTATTCAATCATGTCACACACAGGCTTTCATGTCTGAAAGTAGATTGAGCCAACTGCATGCTCACTAGGTTGCGTTTCCATTTTCAGTGTCAATTTAGAACTGCAACCCACACGTGCATGAGGACGACTGAGACGTCTTCCAAAGTGAATGTGCACTATTATTTTCCATGGAGGCGCAGTTTTATGCCACGTATCAGCTCCTTTGTTACATATCTGAATGAGTGGCATTTGTCTCTGAGGCCTTTTTTTTTCCCGAAGCCAGATGTTTTGACCTGAATACTAAATCGCATGATATGCTTTATATTAGCTGCCATTAACCTGATATGAGACCTTTCTTTTGGTTGCTCTTTCTGTACATCTAACATAATTAATTAAGAAGAAAGGGGTGGGGGACCTTTGTCCCGGCATCAGGAACCATTTTATCCTCAGAAGGCCAAACTAAATTGATGGTAAAAACAAAACATTAGGTTGTACAAATAGGTACATGCATTGCATGCATTGTCGCGACTGAAAAGTACACTTTAACGTTATCTGTCCTCAATTGTATTTTTTTTCAATGCTTGTTGCGAATAAAATCTGCAAATTAGAATCTGTGCTGGAATGAAAAAAAAAAATAAATTCTTGTATTATTGTGATGCTCCCACCTTCCCCCCCGCACCTCATAATGTGGACACCTCTGTGAGCTGAAGTTGGCATGTCCTATTTGGCCGAAAATAACAGTAATTCTTGCCGGGCTCCTTCAGCAGCTTGCAGTGCAATGTGTAGTGTTTTTCTTTTCTTTTTCTTTTTTTTTTTTTTTTTTTGGACCTCAGCTGGAGGATCGGCGACAGAGAGTCAGAATGCAAATAAGGCAGACAAAGCCTTCTGCAGAGGAAAATACAAATTTCAGTGGGTGGACCTTGTGTGAGGCTCTGTGCATTTTCCAAAAAGATTTACATTTTCAATCCACACTCCTTGATAGGAGAAATAATATTTTACTCAACAACCATTGTTTTGGACTTCAGCCTGATCAAGTGCTGAGGTATTGCGCAATATGGTTACTATGTGTGTGTGCGTGTGTATTCTCAGAAATGAATAACCATTCAACTGTGTGTGCCAACTGGGAATTCAATATAAAGTCTTTGTGAATGTTTTTCAGCGGTGAAAAAACTGAACACACCGCTCAATGGCTACATCATCGCGGTGACTTGCAGCAAGGAAATTGCAAGTCCCTATCTCTGTGTACGAAAGCATCTAATAATCAGGTTTGCTCCTGTGAAGTCTCTGTTCGTGGAGGCAGGTGCACGACTAATTCACTCTGGTGATATCTGTAATTAACTCACGTTTCCATGCCGTTTCCACTTACAGCTATCATTGTGGGGTTTGCTGATCATGGAAAATTAGACTGATCATTCATATAAAGGTTAATGTGGGACTAAAAAAAATAAGCCATCATTTCCCTGCAGTCTGGATAACGGCACTTAAGGTGTTGCGTCACGTGGCTATATATTATAAATTAAGTATGCGTATCTTGCCAAGAGTTTAGTGGGTCATGCAGTGTGGTCGAGTAAAGAGTTTCAGTTTGGCTAACACAGCTCTGAATAGATGGTGTAATAACATACAGCTAGATACTCAATATACATCCATCCTTCCATTTTCCGATCCGTTTCATCCTCACAAGGGTCGCGGGGGGTGCTGGAGCCTATCCTAGCCGTTGTCAGGCAGTAGGCGGGGGACACCCTGAACCGGTTGCCAGCCAGTCGCTGGGCACACAGAGACAAACAACCATATGCTCTCACACTCACACCCAGGGACAATTTAGACTGTTCAGTCAGCCTGCCATGCATGTTTTTGGAATGTGGGAGGAAACCAAAGAAACCAGAGAACCCAGAGAAAACTCACGCAGGCCCGGGGAGAACATGCAAACTCCAGGGATCGAACCCACGACCTCTACACTGTGAGGTTGATGCGCTAACCACTGGTCCGCCCACTGTGTACATACAAATGCAAATAGGCAGAAAAGAAGGAAGCTGAAGGTAGGAGGGAAGTATGCAACAAAGGAAGACAAAAAAAGTAGGTTTCATTGAGGGAAGGACCTACAGAGGCATGACTAAAAAGGTGGTCTGAGGGGGATAGAAGGGAAAGAAACAATCTTAGGTACATGCTTGAGTCAAACTTATTCAGAGGTGTCTCACGTAACTTTTAACTTTGGGGTGAAACCCACGCAGGCACAGTGAGAACATGCAAACTTCACACAGTAATGCCGAGGCCAGGGCCGGAATCGAACCCTGTACCTCTGCACTGTGAGGCGGACGTGCTCGTCGTTCACTGTGCCGCCTGTGTATATATTTATGAGTGTATAAATGTATGTAGGCACACACACACACACACACACACACACACACACACACACACACACACACACACGAACACACACATATATACATACATACATACATACATACATACATACATACATACATAGATTATATTGGTTATCTCAAGAACAAAAAACAACAACAAAAGACTACGTTTTAAGTTAATTTGTATTTAATTAAAAAAAGAAATAAAATAAAGCTGCAGACCAAACAGTACAGTAGAATAACTGCAGTCAAATGTACACATGAATCTATAATTTAAAAAAAAATGTAACCAATAAAATAATGACACTCCAAAGTTTGTAAGTAAATTTATTTGCACAGTCAAGTAACATGAGTGCTTATAAAAATATCGATTGTGCATGAAATACATTAGAATTGATCAGAAAAAGCAGTTCAATACAAACACTTGAGCGGAATTCAGCGCTAGGGTGCATGGACAAATTTCTGTCCAAAATTTTGGGGTGAAATTGCATGAACGTGAATAAATTTGAGATAGATAATCGGCATAACATGAGACTACATCTCAATTTTATCAAGTGCTATTGTAAGGAAAACCTAGGTGGGTGTGTTTCAAATAGTCGGTCATTTGTGTCTCCTTACTTTGTTGATACTCCCTGGCGAAATCGCCGGATGACACCAGAGCGACCGCTGGGACTCGAGTAACCGTCCTCGGGCTGCCGCGTCGGTCGAGGTCGTCGCCCACTCTTCGCTCTACTCGACGCGCTGGTCTTGACACATTCCACACAACTTGGACGCATTTGAGGATGTGCGGCTGGAGGACAGCAGTGCACCTGTTGCCGCCTCACCGTCACCTCTAAGGAAGATTGGAAGGAAGGAAGCGAATGGAGGAGCGCAGCCAGTCCAACGCAAGCGGGCGTCACTTGGACGATGGCCGGGCGAGAGTGCAAAGTACCTTGGCGTTTTCGGGACCGGTTTTTGCCATTCTAACGGTGATGATGGTGACTGTGGTGGTCGTGACCGTTTTGGGCAACGCGCTGGTCATGTTCGCTTTCAAAGTGGACAAGAGTCTGAGGAGGCAATGTAATTACTACTTTCTGAATCTGGCGATATCGGACTTCCTTGTCGGTAAGTACACCTCAAGTCGTTTCTTTTTTTCGTTTCTTTTGCTTTCTGACACTTTTGCCACTTTATATAAAGCTATCTTATTCAACCCTCACATCCTCTTCGGGTCAAATTTGACTCGTTTTGACATTTGACATCAATATAACTAATCAAAACGGAATTCTTTCTTGGAATGTGACGACTTTTAACCCTTTCAGGGACAGCGGTTACTACAACGGAGAGTTTATCGTGTTATCAGGTTTCAGGGTGCGTGAAAGGGTCAATGGAGTGACTTAAAGTACCCCAAAATTTGACTGACTTCTATTAAAATACATTTTAGATTTGTCAGTGTGTGTTAAATAAATGGAAACTGTGGAACAATTTTCATTACTCCAATGTGTGCATTTTTTTTTTAAACGGGACAGTGTAACACTATTCAAAATAGCTTGAAACAGACTGTCTGGGGTACCATCACATTTGCACAGAAACATGCAGTGTTGTTCTTTGAAGGGTCATGGGGGGAATCTGGAAACCGTTAAACTGCATAACAATGATCATCAGGGGCGTGCAGAGAGAGGAGCCAACGGGGCGGTGGCCTCAGGCATCCACGGTAAACGTTTGGGGCATGCATGTCAGCGATCGGTATGTTGTCCACGATTTGGTATGTTGCAAGAATTCTGTTGTGATATGGGGGGCGGGGCATCAACTTCGAACTCTCCCCATGTCACAGAGTTGCATAAAATATGAAAAATAATCTTTCAGAGAAAAGGTAAAGCATAATTAAGGATGATTATCATCCATTTGTCAGTGTCAGCTTAGTTAGAAATACATTTTGAAAAGATACAGATATAGTTCATGACTTGAGTGAGACAATTATTTTGAATATATTTTTGGTCAAGGTCAAAAGTGACCCGGAAGGTATTCATTCCTACAAAATGAACAGTAGAACACTATACGATATTCGCTATACCGTTTAACAAAACTGTTTTAGTTATAACGATGGTCCAAAAGTATCGCATTGCTTCTTTTCAGGATTCTGCCTGCGCTTTCTCTTGTCCTCTGTTTTTATGTTTGCAGTCATCAATTTCGTAGCATCCGAAACAAATTTTCCTTCGGGATAATAAAGTTCATCCCATCCTACCCTACACAGGAGCGTTCTGCATCCCCGTGTACATCCCTTACATCCTCACTGGTCGGTGGACGCTGGGCAGGGGAATGTGCAAGCTGTGGCTGGTCATGGACTACCTGCTGTGTTCCGCATCCGTCTTCAGCATCGTCCTCATCAGCTACGACCGCTTTCTGTCTGTCACCAGAGCGGTGAGTGCAACTCCCCCCTTTCTCTGATCCTGGTTGTCATAATGAAGGCCTTTGTGGGTACATGAAAAGATGAGCTTGCTAAAGGTTAAATACTTTACATTTGCATGACAAAGTAGTTTAAAAAAAATCCGTGCAACAGAAGTTTATGTGTGTGAAGATTATCTGTAACTACGCTATAGCTCTTCAAAGATTTTGTTTTATTATCCGTATTCAGCTTCTTTTTAACCTCGTGTGACAGTTAAGAAAGTTAAAAAAACATGATGACATGCAATTCCTAAATCATTTTGCTTAGGTCACAAATCGAACTCACACAAATTGGAATGGATTGTGTTTAGTCCGAGAGGTTTCACTGCAGATGCCCAACTGCGTTCAGTCGATAGCTTCATTCCTGACTGGTCAGTGTGCCAGGTTAGTGATGGGGTCAGTGACACCACCACCACCTCATTTTCCCAAAGCCCCAATTGAGCCCATCTGCACAGGTTAATCATGGCTGACCCAGCTTGGCCCTGTGCCACTTCCTACAAAGAGTTTCTTTGCTGTGTGAAAAAACATCAACAATAAAAAATGGCTTTGGGAAAGAAAACACAGAAAATAAAACCGTGCTAAAGTACAACCACACCATTTTTTTTCAAGAGGCTGCAGTGATTATTAACGCTCCACTCACTCTTGTGAGTCTCCTCCCGGAAACCAGATGGTGTAGTACTAAGACTGACCTGCGAGGGGCATTATAAGGCCACAGGGTGATTGGAGCTAAGAAAGAGGAGTTGAAGAAAAAGAAAGCACAAATGCCGCTTTCTACCTGTGCCCATCTAGTAAGAAAACGGCGCTTTGCACTCGACCAGTGGTTTTTAACCTTGTTAGGGGTACCGAACCCAACCAGTGTATATGCACATTTACCCAACCATTCATTAGTGTAAATTAAAAATGTGATTTTTATTTATTTCTTTTACTAATTCAAGTTATAAAAAAACGCATTAACTCATTCACTCCCAAAGACAAATTTATGTCTTTTCACACGCCACAGGTTCAACCCAAGACGCTTATTTTTTTTCAATTTTTCCAAGACTTAGGGTAAAAAAAAAAAAGGGTCTAGAATTGGCTGGTACTGGATGAGTTATAAACAGAACAAATCTTAAATAAAATTTCAAGACATAAATTTAAGTTTTTTTTTAAATTGTGCACAAAATGAAGCACCCAATGATGGCCAAGCGGGCGTGTCATAACTAATTGACATGTGGAGTTGGGTGTGTCTTAACCTCCATGGCGGAGGCTCCGTCGAACCCCTGAGACGAACCCCTACGGTTCAATCGAACCCAGGTTAAGAACCACTGCACTAGACTAACGCTGGGCACGAAATGTGACTTCCTCCCACCTTTGCCCCACATACAGGATAACAGCAAGGCAAGCTTTTTAGACACCCTTTTGCGGACCTTGATTGGAAGGAAAACCACGCACATTCAGTTCGCTTTTTTTTTTTTTTTTGTCACGCGTGTCCCCAACCTAAAACGTGTTGATTTGTCCAAAACCCTCCACATCCCCATCGAAGCTTTTATTTTTTGGGCCGCGTGCAGGAAGAGACTGAATCCACGTCCACAAGTTGCAAAGCCAAATTGGGGCGAGACCCGGCGTAGTTAGACAAAGGCAGCGTTCTCTTCCCTTTCACGAGCAAACACTTTTACATCAGAGCGCTGAATACAAATAACGCCGCAAAGAGAGAAAGCGGGAAGCTCTTCTTTAATTAGCCAGCTTTGATCATTGAGGTCCTCCTCCTCCTCGCGCAACCGTCGTCCTCCCAACGTGGAGAGATGAATCGCGTCAGAAGCAGGCCACTGGCGGGCCAAACAGCATTCTCTTAAAAGCCTGCCTCTGTGAACGCCGGCGGACAAAAGGTCGTCAGCAGTGACACGGCAAAGTGCGTCTTTGAAAGGGAAAGATGGAGTCAAATTAGATGCGGATTCTTTCTTTTAAATTTGGGTGAGAGGTGAGCACAGTGAGAAATGTTCACTTCAAGGGAAGGCAATTCTGAGTCGTCATTAAGCATCAGAAATGATTCACTGCGTGGAGGGGCAATATTTGACTTGGGAGACAATGATTGGTTCAGTTGGTGAAAGGAAGACTCCCATTTAAATGGTTGACAAATTTTTTTCGACATAGGATTTTTGTTTTGTTTCATTTGAACGGTTGTACGCACTGTACGCGGCAATATTAAGTTACGGGTATTATTTTAAGATGGTGTACCCTTCATCCAACTGAATTTTGTGGCTGTGGTTAATTGTTTCATAGGACAATCAAGGAAAATTTATTTTGGTTTGTACACAAACTGTTGTTGTATAACGTCGTCCCTTTGGAGAGATATTGAAATAATGTTGAAGGAAAAATGATTTCTGCTAAAAACGAGGTCGAGCTTCTGCGATATTCTTGGCGACTCATTCGCTCCCAAAGACGTGTTTGTGTCTTTTCAGACTCCACACATTTAATCCCAGGTCCTTATTTACATTTTTTTCAAGATGTTTTAGGAGTACGTTGGAACGTATTTGCGACTACGTTTGAACGTATTTAAATACATCTGAATGCACTGGAACGTACTTTCAAGTATGTTTGCACGTAGTTGCCTGTCAAAATATTTTTACTCCACATTAGCAGCTTCAGGCTTCCATACAATCACAATATTGAGGGGCGGGAAAAAAAAAATCACTATTTGAATGTTTTTTTTCTTCAAAATCGTTCAGCCCCGGAACAGATAGCTGAATGGCTGGAAAGTCTCATTTCTGCCATTGTTTGCCGCAGGTGAGTTACCGGGCCAGACAAAGCACGTCTCATCCCGCCATCATCAAGATGACGGTCGTGTGGGTGCTGGCCTTTCTCCTGTACAGCCCGGCCATCATATTCTGGGAGCTGGCGGTGGGCCAAAGTCGGGTGCCGAATGAAGAGTGCTTTGCCGAATTCTATCACTCCTGGTACTTCCTGCTATGCGCCTCCATGCTGGAGTTCTTCTCCCCTTTCATCTCGGTGGCTTTCTTCAACCTCAGCATTTATCTGAACATACGCCGGCGGAGGCTCCGCTGCAGGGAGGCTCAGCTCAACCTTCAGCTCAATGAACCCGTGTCGGCGCAGGGGGAAGCTAACCCCTTTTCCCACACGTGGGGCACGGGAGGCAAGCTGGCCGTGCGAGGCTCCATCCACTCCCCGTCCTCGTCTCCCAATTTGGGCAAACTGGATCCGTCGAGCAGCAGGGCGGCCCAACCTAACCGTCTGTCCAGAGATAAGAAAATTGCTAAGTCGCTGGCCATCATTGTGTGTGTGTTTGCCATCTGCTGGGCACCGTACACCCTACTGATGATCATCCGTGCCGCCTGCAGAGGGCGATGCATCCCGCATCACTGGTATGAGGTCACCTTCTGGCTCCTGTGGCTCAACTCTGCCATTAACCCTTTCCTCTACCCGCTGTGTCACAGCAGCTTCCGCAGGGCCTTTGCTAAGATTCTGTGCCCAAAGCGGCGAAGCTCCACTCGCCCTTTAGTCGTCCTTCGAGCGGGCCAGTGACCAGCGGACGCTCCCCAGCCGACAGCCCAAACTGTGAAGTATTCCAAACGTAAACGTATCCAATCGGCGGCGTGGTCTTGCGAGTGTGTCAATATGAGAATAACGTGCTATCTTGCACATGATTTATGTTTTTATATTCACTCAATGTCTGAAATGTTTACAGTCGATAAGACAGGTGCCACGAAACGCAAACACGATTAAAAAAAAAAAAACTATTGAATTTTACTTCTTCCTCAATGAATTGCTTATTGTGTCTTGCAAACATCCGCCTGAATTTTACATGATGAATGTATTCGCATCAAGGATAAATGTTGCTATTGCCGCGATGTTGCCATTAAATCAAGTTTGATGTGAAATCTATCTATGTGATCATAAAAAGCATATCCCCCCTGCCCCTGCCTCTTGCTTTCGCCGTTATTACTTTTCTGAAGGACTACAATAGCATATCATGAATATCCTGACACGATAAAACAGAAATGTTCTCCTGCCAGACAAACACATTTGTCACTTGGACTGCATCCTCACTTGTACTCTTCTACCCGTTTACATTTTGCATTTACAATAAAATAAGTTGTGAAGCGACACCAATAGGGCAAAAAAAAAAAAAAAGATTTACATTTATGACTATTCTTGTAGCGTTTAACTGTTGGGGCGGCTGTGCGTTTGTTTCTTGGTGCCACTAGATGTCGCTATTTATCTTTGCAGCTTTCAACGTTGTGGAGCGCTCCACAGCTTCGAAGCATCGTTGACCCAAATTGCTCTCTGGCTGACTGCAGCGAGTGTGTTTGAATTAACACTTCAATGCAAAGTAATAAAAGTATTTGCAGCAACTTCTTGAGTGATTTTTAGCTTCGGGCATGCTACGTCAAATAATTATCCCCGAGAGGAGAGAAAAAGGTACACATTTCCATGAGAAGCGCATCTAGTGTTTTTCATTTGGAGAAGCAACATTGTATTACTGCTACAGACTTTGAATGTCATCATGCTTGAAAAGGAGCTTTCGATTTTATTTTTATTTTTTTTGGAAGACAATACATAATATTAAAATAACACCATATTTTGTGAATAGATGCTTACTAATACTTCATCCACATGAAAGCAGCTAGTAACAGTCATGAATGATCTCAGTTCAGAGATGTTAACAGATAACGATTGAGTCAATGTGAACTCTGCAGATGACCGAATCAGCAGCACTGAAGCACGCAACGTTTATCAATGAATTTCATGCAAGGAGACTTAAAGATTTACAAAAAAAAAAAAAAAAAATGTAGTGAACAAGCACCCGGCTTCATCTTCAAAGCTGATCTAACATGACACCTTTGTCGTGGTAAAAGCGATGGCATGAAGGGGGCTTGGCTCGGTCTGCCTTCCTTCATAATTGTCCTTTTTATTGAAACTTGTTTCATCTGACATGATTTGAGTACAAATAAAGGCTTCCCCCTACTGCAGTTGAGCAAACAAAAACCTCTTGGCCACAGCTCGCAGAAATACACATTAGAATGCCTAATTTCAACATGTCGATTTCAATTTCAAAATAAATAAATAACGTGGTACCTCCGACCCATGATTTTATATCAGTGACCGCCACAGTGTTTCCCAAATTTCATGAGACAAAGCACTTTTTTTTTTGTTGTTGTTTTTGAAAAATCTCAAACTGCCAAAGAAAGATGGTCATGCAGGGCGTATATATTGAAAATGATGATCATGTATTAATTTACTCAGCGTGACGTCTGGCCCTGTTGAGGTGAACACGTCATTAAAAGAACAGAAAAACAGTTTTCGAAGGTATTATTCTGATGTAGGAGTGGTAACGTTAGTTCAGAGCACCTATAGTAAAATAGCATTTCATTATTCTGGCTGTCACTATAGATCACTGGCATAGAAAGATGGGCAAAGATCAATGATAATAATTGGATTATTAGTTGTTTGGATATTGCACACTTTCACGGCACACAAATGCACAGCGGTTGAGAATCACTGCTCTATTGTGCTCATTTTACCATAATCCGTGCAATTTTTAATTTTTTTTTCTCCAACGTGCAGGCTGAATTATTGTATTCAGCTTGATAGATTCCAGGAGTTTTGTCCAAATGTAAACTCACTGGAGCGGTAATTGCGCCATCATGTTAGATAGCGGGGGGGTGTTACATTTTGCAGGTGCCAGGGTCCCACGGGGTACTCTCATTGTTCAAATTGTCACATCTGGGCCCCTGGTCAGGTGCTGGGAGGACAAGCACAACTGCTGGGACCAGGCCTCTGCACCCCGCTACTCGGCCAGGGGTGTGTGAGGAGCGACCCACCCTTATGACCAAACCGGAAACCGGGGGGGACGGTGGGGTGCTCAGGCCCATTTCCCGAGGGATGACAGCGCTGTATTTATCAGCGCAATTGAGAGCCGGGCTTTAGTGGTGAGGGTGGGGACACTTGCACTGTGTGCAGTTATACCAGCGGGAGAGCCACTATTGATTTTGATGATAGATTGAAATGTCATGGCATGTGTGCCACAGCGCTAGGATACGGGCTGAGGCTGCGCTGGGAATCGTCCCAGGGATTTTCTTTGGAGTGCTGTGAAAAACATGGAGGAAAAGGTGTTAATCTGGTGAACATGCCTGCATGCTTACGTTTCAGAATCCCCCCCCCCCACCCACCCCCAGCCCTAATTAACAGTCACTGGTTTTATTGGGGGGGGGGGCTTGGATGTCTGTATCTAAGAGCCGAGGCCCCTAATGGAGAGCACCTGTGCCCTTTAAGTTTATAGAGCTGCATTAGAAGAGAAGCAGCCGGCGATCAGACGGAAAGGGGGAGGACTGTGAGACAACCCCTTGAGAATATCTAAACTCCTTTGTTCGAATGACCTAATGCTGAAATCAGCCCTCGTCTAATCTTATAAACAGCGCGGCCTTCAAAGCAGACCGAAAATAAAATGAAAGAAATGTGAGCGAGCCCGATGTGAGTTTCGGGATGACACGACATACTCCGAGCATTGCGCACGACAAGGCCGTGACCGATCTGTTGTGGTATTTGGCACTCAAGTGAACAGACGCAACCGCTCCTCCTACTGCAGGTCAGAGCACGACCACTTTTGAGGCTGGAGCCCCACTCAAGCTATTGCGCTCTTCACTTTCTCTTAATGCAAAGCGCCTTTCATATTTCATGAGTACTCAAAAATAAAATCTGTACCCCGCCCCTCCGCTTTCCCTTTTCTTGCCACTTTTTTTCTACTGCAAAGCATTTCCTGACTAGAGATTAAATAATTCCATCAGAATCCTCTTAGGATGGGTTACCAGCACTTGGCAATTAAACAATTACATTTAATCAGCATGGGGCGATGCTTCAAGTCACCCTCATTTCAGACGTTGATTAAAAGCAATTCTTCAGTGGTTATTGCTGTCGACGCCGGCAACTCGGCTCGGGTTTTCTGCCGTCTGTGCGGCGGGGTCAGGCCGGATAGCAATATGGCAGGTTCAGTGGTTACGGTGAGGAGGGGATTGGAGGGGCGCCGTGGAAGGGACGTTACTGCCCCTTGTGGGTAAAGCGGTAATGGCAGACCTTCTATTGTCGCTTAAGTCGAAGCTAGTTAGATTACTTGGATGCCTCTTGACCCTCTGGTAGAAGAGACTCCGGGAACAATAGAATGGAAGAGGAGCCTTTTTGTTACAGTACGCTTGTGGGAGGGCAGATTCCATGTGAGGGAATGTGTGTCTATCCCAGGGGTCGGCAACCCAAAATTTTGAAAGAGCCATATAGGACGAAAAAAAACCCCCAAAAAACAAATATGTCTGGAGCCGCAAAAAAATAAAAGCCTTCTATAAAACTTACAATGAAGGAAACACATGCTGTATGTATGTAGGAGACTGGACTGTCTCAGAATCGTTTGTTATTCATTCCTTGATTTTTTGTTTTGGTGCATTATTTTCGCTTTTCTTAGTGTCAGTGAAGTGATCATTAATTTCTGTTTTTCGGAGGCTGTCTTTGAACACGTCTCGAGTTGAACGAGAAGAGAGAAGGCACGGAGTCGGACGCAGATGTGTCTGTGTTTGTCGAGACTGTTAAAAGCATAAATAAAGTGTACGTTTTCAAAAACCAACACCACAGCTCTCCTTTTTCGGAGCTGCAACATGTATCTATATCTATTTGAGCTATATTAGCCTACTATCAAAATCTTTTTCCATTTTCAAACATTTTTTATAAAGCTCCAGGGAGCCAATAGATGTCGCTAAAGAGCCGCATGCGGCTCTTGAGCCGCGTGTTGCCGACCCCTGGTCTATCCGCAGTGTTTATGGTGTGTGTGTGTGTGTGTGTGTGTGTATATATATCTACCAATCCATCTATAGATGGACACACACACACACACACACACACACACACACACACACACACACACACACACACCTCCTTGCAATCTAAGTGCACAACACTTGAATTCAAAACACTTGTGTGTCAGCTGTACATCATGTTTGAGTGCAAGGCGGCAAAGTGCCGGAGCCAACAAAGCTTTTCCCTCTCCTTTCTACACATGGAGCCCAGGTGACTCTCTTTTATAAGGCGCCCCACTAACTCTCTAAGACGAAATGCCAGTCCAGGCCTTCAACACGGAACAGCTTTTGGGGAATGGACGCGGCCAGGAGGATAAAACGTGAGTCGTCACAAGCTCACTCAGCACACCTGCTGATTCAAATGAGACTCAATCGCAGAGCTGTCACATCTCTCCACGGTGAAGAATGATGCAAATGCTGCACTTGAGTTCAATCGGTTGCGCGGGTGTACCTAATGTTGTGGTCAGCGATTGCCTATCTGGTCATTCGATTCAGGCAGCAGAATGACAAACAATACTTTTACTGTACATGAAGCAGTCAAATATAGATAAAAGCTTTCACCAGAGCGACAATGTAGCACCCCCCCCCCCTTGCACAGCATCATAGCAGCACTGTCGCAATCGTCTCCTCTAATGACATTCCTCTAGTACCTCCTTGCCTCTGCAAAAATCTCATGGGGGAACCACTACAAAAAGTGATAATTACATGAAATATACATAGAGAATAAAGGGGGCATGTTTACATAACCAGGCCCATAAATATCTGACTGAGAAGACATTGTTCCACGTCTCCTTTTAAGCGGATCTCCTTGGGACGCCATTTTAATGACATGATGGCTTAAAGAGATGCCTGCTACGTCTCGTTCCATATTTAATTAACTTTTACTTGTTTTTTTTTTTCACACCCCCCCGTTTCTCTGACGCACTGAGGAGAGACAAAAAAACCTGAGTAAAGAAAGCGCAAAGGAGGCAAACACAGGCGAGATAACGGGGAGACAATAACAAATAGCTGTGAGTACAGAGCAGGAGGCTGGGGGAACATGAGCAGAGACCTTGT